TTTTATAAAAAAATGTAAATATTATGTGAACAATATATATATATATATATATATATATATATATATTTTATTATATAAAAATAAAAAAGATTATAAAGATGGTTCATGCTTCTAATTACTTCGATTCTTACCCACTCAACCACTAGACTAACCCTAACGGTATGTTAACAAAATATATAAACCAACAAAAGATTGATTTAAATATATAAATTGTGTTATGAGTAGTAAATTATATCATAAATTCTATAAATTAAAAAAAGTTACATTTATTGGTGTAACTAATGTTGTGATTGATAAAAAAAATGTTGGAAAGAATATTCTTTAATATAATCAAATCAACGAAATTAATAAATACTCCTATCAATACTATGATAAAAAAAAATTAAGATCTAAATACTTTTCAAATCAATTATAGCTGTATTGGGTTAAGAATTTTATAAAAAAAAATTATCATAAAAAATATTGTTATATTCAATAAAATAATCTTCAATATAATTTTTTTTAGTATTCAATTGAAGTAATCAAATTTTTTCTGTTAAAATTTAATGGTTTTCATTTTAAAAAAGTATTATGATATTAAAAAAGATATACAAACTTCAATGGATTATATTATAAGATGAATTTTACAAGATTTTTTTCGTAAAATTTATATATAATATACTCATTTAACAATCATATCCCATCAAAATCTTTCAGATTTTAGTTTTTTCTCATAATTTTATTTTTATAATATTCAATTAAGATATTTTTTATATATATAAATTTTGTAGTATTCAATAAAGACAATTATATATTTTTTAAAAAAATATTAGAATCAAGTGGTATTCATTTGAAACTTTTTTACTTAAAAAAAAGTCTTATGATATTAAAAGTATACAAACTTTAATAGATTATATTGTAATATGATTTTTATCCAATAATTTTACAAAAGTCTTGAATATTTTGTAACATTCTTTTTTTTTCCCAGTTTGTTTTCTCTTTCATTTTTCATGTGTTTTTCATTCTCACTATTTTTCTTCCCTCTCACTCTCTTACTACTTTTTGTCTCTCTTTCTCTTTTATCTCTCACACCTATATTCTTTTTCTTCTCTTTATTTTGTCTCTTATTATTATCAAGATTTTTCTAAATTTTCATATGATTTTGTTGATCATGGTAATAACTCTAATGTGAAAATTAATTGTTCAATCTTCCTCATGCATCCTTAAGAAACATGATCAAGAGGATTTTTGTTATTTTAAAATTACTCTTAACAATTTAAGTCAATATTTCCATTTTATTTAAGACATGAATATAAATCTATTAAAATTTATATTAAATTTTTTATTATAAAAACTTTTTAAAAAAATTCTAAAATTTATTAATTTTTATAAAATCTTTTAAAATTCGCGTGACTTTTTCATTCTAAAATATATACTAAAACCATTAAATTAAAAACATGAAATACTAAATTATAGAAATACTTAGAGCATGTTTAATAAAAACTTATAAACACTTTTCATAGTTTGTCTACTTAAAAAAAATACTTTTTATTTTTCATACAATAACTCTCAAAAATGTTTTTAATCCAAACAAGTTAGGTTTATGTAGTAAATTTTTTGGACGATTCTCAGTTAATAAATTATCAACATGATGTCCTCATGTCCTGTCCAATAATATTAAGATTGTCTTTTCATTCTAGCACTTATGGAGAACCAACAGAAAATAAAGTCTTTAAAATTTTAATTCAATGAACGTTGTCTAAAATCTAGGCCTCATGTCATTATAAATTTATGATGGCGTTTGATTTTCAATCATTGACTTTAGGAAAACTGTGGCAACGATTCGTTGCTGTTGAAACCAGAGTAGTAGTACTCCGTTAACACAAGTTTCAACTTAACCATTAATACTAATGATTATATTCACCAAAGGTGACGGCAATGAATTTCTTAACTTTTTGATCGATCATCAGGAAGACGAATGAAAAAATCCAAATGTTATCATTTCACTCCATTAAGTTCAAAGTGAACTATTATGACGCCTTAGGGAATTTTTAAGGGTTGGTATCGATGCAATATGATGAAGATGATCAAGGTGAGAGGATATATGAAAATGGGAGCAAAACTATTATATTTAGAAAAAGTTTCCAATGCACGCCCTTTGCCCTTGATGGGAAATTAAATTTGTCTTTACATGAAAAGAAAGTTTTGGGTGGAATTCCAACTCCGTTGAGTGTGGTAGGCATGTGTGTGTCTTCTCTTTAAGTGTCTTCTAGTTCCATCTTTTTTCATAGTGCCCTTGTTCTTTTCTGAACGGAATATACAGAACAACAATGTTCTTCATATATGGTACCATAGTACCATATCCTAATCCTACGTAAAGTCTTGAGTAAAAACTATAAAATACGTAAACATGACCAGAAGCATATGTTATAAATATAAATAGCCTCGAATACCAATCCAAAATACCTCATCCGACAGAAACATGGCAAAAGTCTGCTACTAAATGCAATGATAAATACGT